TATCAAATCAGGGCCAATATGAAGAAAATTGGCTGCATCAGAAATGGGACTGAAGCGGCCAATAATTTTGTTGAGAAATGCCTGTGCATGTGCGCAGCTGCAGCGCAGCACACAGGCAGCGAGGAGCAGAGCCCAGCAGCATGCAGCTGGTAAGTCTGTTGGGGTGGAAGGAGAGCAGGGAGGGAAGGGGCATTGGGGTGGGGTATCAACACCCCCTGCAGTGAGGGAGGGAAGGGGCAGAGGCAGGCGCTGCCTAGCCAGGGTGGGGTGGGTACAGGACAGAGCTACTGTTCTCTGGGGACGGGGGGCAGCTCATGCCACTGTGTGCACCCTGGGAGCAGGGCTACAGCAAAATTTGGGGTGGCTGCAGCCCCCTCCGTAGCCCCCATCCCAGTGCTGCCACTATCTGCCCTGAGCCCAGCCCCTGCTGAGACGAGCCTGGCACAGCCCTGGCTACAGGCCGCAGCTGCAGCCCACCTGCCCTGCCCTGCCCTGTGCCCTCCCAGGGTACACCCCCCCCCAACTCCTCCGGACGAGCCGCAGCTCCATCTGGCACCCCGTCCCACCCCAGGTGGGCAACACCTGCCCCTGCCCCCTCCCTCACATCAGGGGGCACTGTTCTGCCTCCCCTCCCCCTATGGCCTCTCTCTTCCCCCTCCCCTTCCACCACAAACAGACTTACCAGCTGCATACAGCTGTATCAGAAATCGGACTGATATCGGCTGATATGTTTCCTTAAATATCGGCTATCAGTATCAGCCCCCAAAAACTCTATTGGTGCACCCCTATATGATATATAAAAAGATAGAATATATCTGTCTCTGGCCATATGCAGATGTTCAGATAAAGGCACGATGGAATCTGATCTGCAATCTCAACAATTGCATCTCCTATCATATTACACATACATGGCAAGAAGCCTGACTGAAAGATTGGGGATCAGATCCCAATTATGCCTGGGATCATAAGCCTGGCTTCCCTTGCACCAGCAAGTATCAGGCTAGGTACCCTGTGTGCCCGTAGCTTGACATGCCACTCGGATAATCTGCTGTCCTATTCACAAGAACGTATTGGGAGCCCTTCAAGACTCCAGTATGTTCCTGTGACTGGGAGCACCAGTCAGCTAACCGGCACTGGCTGCATATTCAATTTCAGGCATGATGGGGACCAGCCACAAAGTTATTACACAAAATTATTTCCCTGTTTTATCATGCCATTAATTGTATGAACATATGGCCAGGTTAATACATGATTCGATTAATGGTTAATCACATCTTAAGTGTAACATCTGCCAGGGGCCTAAATTTAAATAAAATACCATTGGTGCAGTGAACGTGTTAACTGAACTTAAATGGCAGGACAAGATGAACTATGCCATTTCCGCATTAAATATAAAAGACTTTTTTCCTTAGTTTTAGAAACATTCCTACAATGTTTTATTTTAACTCAGGAGTTCATATACAGCTCTAAGTGCTCAAATTACTCTTTTCTTGAGGCTCTAACTATTTCTGACAACTTGATTTCATCTTCTGGGTTATCAGGTAACCCATAAAGGTAATTAGAAACCCATTTTTGATATATACAGTAGTCTATTGGCCCTGTTTTTTCTCCTGTTCAGTTTAGTTCCTATGTACTAGACACACACAAATTGCAGCTAAAATAAGTTCATTTTCTTCAGTTCTCTCAGAAAGTCAAGTGAATTGTTTTTATTTTAAAAAATTATATTTTTTGGAGCATAATAATTTGAAGGAAAGAAAATGTATTACTTCACAGGTATTACACTTGCCCTAAAATTGGAGCAGAACAGCAAGCGTCAGGTAGCTTTTAGGATGCAGTAAAGTTTGTGAAGTGTGAAATGGCAAGCGAGATATCACATAAAATATATGAGGTAGAGTATTTTGAGGTGATGGTTATACTTGTAGGGTGAAGGTACACTGATGTGAGTTTATGCTCAGTAAGTAAGATTGAGACAAGTTATGTTTACTGATGTTTACTGACTGAGAAAATAAACTTCTATTTACTTTCTCTTGGTAGCTGGCTAAGCAAGTACCAGGTCACTTAATATTTCTTTCTTGTTTCATGCCTTCCCCTAGATGGCAGACGCAGATTGTGTTATTCAAACATAATATTTTTATCCTGTTATTATAGCTCTCTCCCCTGTTCCAGTCCAAGTAGATGAAAATTCCCATGAACTTCACTAGGAACAAATCTGCTTGTGGCATTTACTAACTAGAGCACAGTTACTCTTCTGAAGAAGTGACACATGCTAGGAAATACAAGGATACGGAGGTTAAGAATTGCCACCTTCATATATATAAAAGCTTCCTCTGGGCAAGCCATTTTGGTGTAGGGAAATAATGGATTCTTAGTTTCTGACATGTCACATTCAGATATTCTCCTCTGTTTTCTTCAGAAGTGGGAGCAAAATTGCAGCTGCCTCTACAGGCAGAGAGTGGCTCCTCTTATCAGTTATTAGAGGTGTACTGATACATTGGTCCATAACATACTGGCACTGATAAAAGGAAAATTGACATTATCAGCAATTGTCTTTTTCTGGCTGATGTGGCTGATAAATGTTGCCAAAAAATGCTACGTGCCTCCACAGTTGCAGTGCAGTACACAGGCGGCCAGGAGTGCAGCCCGACAGCATGCATCTGGCTGGTAAGTCTGTTGTGTGGGAAGGGGTGTGGGGGTGGGGGCAGGCCAAAGCTCCCAAGGTGAGGGAGGGAGTGGGGCTGGCACTGCGGCTGGGGTAGGCACTGCCCAACCCTGGTGCAGCATGGGATGGAGCCATGGGGAGAGGGGAGGGGAGTGGCTCCCGCTGCTGTGTACACCCTGGGAGGGCATGTGCCCCTTGGATCTGTGCGCAGTGAGGGCAGGCTGCCACTGTGGGCTGGGGGCAGCACCAGGCT